CTTCTTAATATATGTTTTCATATTTATTCAATATTAATTAAATATCTATTCAATATATTAATTAAGTATTAATTCCATATCAACAACAATTCCGTATCTATTCAATATATTAATTAAGTATTAATTCCATATCAACACTAATTCCGTAACCATTCAGTATATTAATTAAGTATTAATTCCATATAGAATAATTCTGTATCTATTCTATATATTAATTTAAGTATTAATTTTGTATTAACAATAATTCCATATCTATTCACTATATTAATTAAGTATTAATTCTGTATCAACAATAATTCTGTAATTATTCAATATAATTAAGTATTAATTCTGTATCAACAATAATTCCATATCTATTCAATATAATAATTAAGCATTAGTTCTGTAGCAATGGCAATTCCGTATCTATTCATTATATTAATTAAGTATTAATTCTGTATCAACAATAATTCTGTATCTATTTAATATATTTATTCTGTATTAATTTATTATATAACCTTAATATTCCGTATATTTAGATTATATTCCGTATATTATCTGTAATTTTCTTTATTATTTTAGTATATATTTTTCCATAGGGAAGGTCCTTGCTTTGCTATTACAGCCATGGAGCCTAATCATAATGTAAAGTCCTTGTACTGCTATTGTAGTCGCAGAACTTAATCACCAAATATAAGGTTCTTACTGCCCATGGTAACTATAGAGCCTAATTACATGATGTTCTTGTATTGCAATCTCATTCATGAAGCCTTATTACATTGTGAGATCCTTGTATTGCCATTGTAGTTGTGGAGCTTAATTGCTATGCATAAAGTTTCATGCATTGGCAGCCATAGAGCCTAATCACAACATAAAATCCTTGCATCCACTGTGCCTAAACACAATGTAGATCCTTGCAACTACAATAGTTACGATGCTTAATTACCAAACATGAGGCCCTTGCACTGCCTGCGGTAGCCATTGAGCCTAATCACAACATGGGCTCTTACCTAATCACAATTTAAGATCCTTGTACTGTTATTGTAGTTGTTGAGCTTAATAACCAACCATGAGGTTCCTCACTCCCATGGCATGAGGTCCTTACAGTCATGGAGCCTAATTACAATGAGAGATCCTTGTGCTGCTATTTTAGTTGTAGTCCCTATAAGAAAAAGTCAATATTCATTATTTAAAAATGAGCATTTTCTGTAATAAAAATCCGAACAAAATCTGAATAGAATTTTGATTTTTTTTCACTGCCATAAGCTTAATCACAACATGAGGTCCTTGTACTGCATAATACAATATCAGATATAGTACACTCCCTTTAAGCAACTCAAGCACCTAGTTCGCCATTTATGATTTTAATTGACGAAAGATGAAACTAGGTTTCGTGTTTCGTCAGCGCGAAACCTCAAGGGTTCGTCTAACAACTATAATACTTACATCTAATTATTCATTCTCATTAATTTAGCCGGTAAGAATCAAGAACAAGTTCACAAAACAAGAAAACCAAATCATTTCATTTGATTAATTTGACCCTACAAGAATAAGAAACATTTATTAATGAGCAGAATTAAGAACAGCAAAACAAATTCGCAAAACAAAAATATAGATACTTACGTACTTACTAATCTTTTCATTTGCATTGATTTAATTGGTAAAAATCAAGAACATTTATTAATAGATAAACTAAAAACAGCCAACAGGCTCACAAAATCAAGAACATGAATACTTGCATACCATTACATTCAAATCATTTAATTCGAATTAATTTAGCTGGTAAGAATAAAGAACATTCACTAATATACTTAAAATCAGAAACCCAAATTTACAAAACAAAAACAGATGCTTACTTACCAATACATCCAAATAAGAACATTTATTGAAAGGTAGATTTAAAAATAGGATCTTTAGATTTATAATATATAATAAATAATGAATTAGTTCCTATCAACCCACCGACAATTAATTCACAACAAGGTTTATTTTACAGACGATTAATTCACAGACAAGGCTTATTTTACAAACTATTAATTCACAGATAAGTTAATTTCATAGGCAGTATAATTCAACATCAGCTCATTACACAAGTTTTTTCTTTAATAAATTGCACTGTATTCCAACGACAATGACTAGAATTAATTTGTCAGGGAAATGAACTGTCGGTAAAAATATACTGTCCATGAAATGAACTTGTCTGTGCATTAATCATCGATAAAATAAATCTTGGTTGTTAATTAATTGTCGTAATTAAATTGTCTATGAAGTGATTATCGGTAAAATAATACAGACTATAATGAATAACGGTCGGCGAATAAATAAAATATCTGTAAGATATTTGGGGCGTTTTCGCGGCCCAAAATATCTTACAGATACTTGATTCATCCATTCATTCATACTACCATACCGATATTTTTTTTACCTACAAAATTGATAAATGGCGATGAAACTAATGAAAAGTGATGAAATGATGAAAGGTGACAAAACTGAAAAAAAATGGGAATGAATATTTCCACACCTTTTTTTATTTCCACGCCCCTGTAAATCACTCTTTTTTAAAATTTTGATCGAAGATATTTCGACAACTACATAATGAAATTCGATGAACTTTTTTTTTGTTTTAATTCCTGTGGATTTGTAGAAATAAACAAAAAAAAAGTTTATCGAATTTCATCAGGTTGTTGGTGAGGTACCTTCGATCAAAATTTTGCCGCGGCTTATATTTTGATAGACGTTTAAAAATTTTTTTTAAAACTTTGATTGAGTATATCTCGACAGCAATCTTCGATCAGAATTTAAATAAAATTTCAAACGCCTATCAAAACATAAGCCCGGAAAAATTTCCATAACTTTGATCGAAGATATTTTGACAGCCACCTAATGAAATTCAATGTATGGATTTACAGAATTCAATTAAAAAAAAGTTCATTGAATTTCATTAGGTTGTTGTCGAAATATCCTTAATAAAAATTTTAAACGTCTATCAAATAGACCGCAACAAACCTTTTCACAACTTTGATCGAAGATATCTCGACAACTACCTGATGAAATTCGATAAACTTTTTTTTCGTTAAATTTTATATATCTACAGAATTCAAATAAAAAAATATTCATCGAATTTCATCATGTAGTTGTCGAGATATCTTCGATCAAATTTTTAAAAAATTTTCAAACGTCTATTAAGACATGAGTTGCGGCAAAATTTTCTATAACTTCGATCGAAGTCATCTTGACAACTACCTGATGAAATTTGATGAATCTTTTTTGTTTGAATTCTATGGATCCACAGAAATTTAAATAAAAAAAGTTATCGAATTTCATCAGGTAGTTGTAGGGATATCTTTGATCAAAGTTTTAAAAAGAATGATCTACAAGGGTGTGGAAATATCCGTTCCCTTAAAAATATGCACAAGGTTTACGCGATAATAAAACTACTACATGCCGGCTATTAGATATGTATTATGAGCTAAATTATTTATTTGTGTAAGATAAAATAAGGTTTTTAGACAGGATTCATAAAATATTCTTTCGGCCCCATTGTATAATACAAATCACATGTTTGCTTAGATTTTGCCACAAGAAATAACCTTGGTGAATGAAAAAAAATTAAGAATCTTTTGCTACGAACTTTGACGATCATGATTATCTATTCATCAAACCGGTAAAAAATCCAACAAGAAAAAAAAAGAAAAGGTGATAAAAGTTAGAAAAAAAAATAGAAACTCACATGGAAACGCTCGTAATAATAGAAAAAATAAGTATTTTATGCTATAAATCGATAATAATTTCACAATCATTAAATTTTATTATTATTTTTTTTTCTAGCATATACATTGATATGATATGAAATAAAATAAATAATATGAATATGAAATGAATATGAATATCAATATAGAAAAAACGGCAGGAGCTTTCTAAGAAATGTGAGGAAATTTTTTGCGCCGATCTCTGCATTATAGTAATACAATACACCATAAAAAAATAATAAACAGTCTATACAAAGCAAGGATGGACAAACCAAAATTATAAAAAAATTGATAAAAAACAAAACGTTACCCTCGGATTGGAACACTATTTGGGATAAACAATTCGTGTAATATTATTCTGCATAGCGATAACTCAATTTTTGTTAATATCTTTACTGTTTATATATCGATATGTCGTACGTACGTACGTACGTATGCACGTAAGAATTTCCTAGTTAAATTAGTTAGGGTGTACATATGAATAAATCAATCCCAAATTGTTTTTTTATATAAATTCCGAATCCACTTACAATATATACAATCACTTAAACATTGTCAGATTTCGAATATGGAAGACAATAATTTTTAGTGAGCAAGAAACGGCCAGAAAATGATAGGCCAACATGCAATCATAATGATAATTAGACATTTGATTGTGGGATACGATCTACAAATTTGCAAATTGAGATGTGCATAGAAATTTTATTCAAGATCTGTTAAAATGAAACAAGTACATAAATGATTATTTCAAGCATCTTTGATTTGAGTAATTTTTTCGATTCAAAGAACCACGATACACAAACTTTTATTTACATATAAAGATTGTTTGATGGATACTTATGCATTATAATGTATCTGAGGTCAATTATAGAGTTTACATTATGGATATTATATGACGAAAACACGCCACAATTTTCTAGATTCGGAATGTTTTAATAATTAATCGTACGACCTTCAAATTCAAACGAGAAACAATAGAGCCTTAAAAATATGCTTAGCATTTCATGATGAACAATATAAAGATGACTGTTTTTTTATTTTTTATTTTTTTTATTTATTTTCTTATTTTTTTTGTGTTATTTTTAGTGTTAAGGTGAGATTATTTTTCTTCAATTTTCAAATAATAATAATATATACGTCGTAAGTGGAAGTGGATTTGGAATTTCCTAGTTAAATTAGTGTTAGGGCGCACATATGATAAAATCAACCCGAAAATGGTTTTTTTTATATAAATTCCGTATCCGCTTACAACATATATATTAATATTAAAATATGGGATTGAGTCATTCATCAAATAATCATTCTCTCATGACAGAAATATACCGATATTGGATCCAGTTGTTCTCAAACCATTTCCAGATATATACCCACGTTTAGATATCTTGGATTTCTATGACAATGAAACATATAGACCACATCTCGATTTACTTATTCAAAGTTATCAAGCAATGTATGATCGCCCCTACGAAGATATGCGATCGTTTTATCGGGTTGCTGGTATTCATGGGTTGCCTTATGAACCTTATGATGGAGTTACTGGCGATGCACATGAATATAAATCATCGAAAGGTCGTTGGGGCGGATATTGTCATCATGGAGATAGTTTATTTATAACATGGCATAGACCATTTATGCTTTTGTTTGAATCTTTGATAGTTATTGAAGCTAAAAAAATTGCTTTACAATACCATGATAATGAAAAGGAAAAGTATGTTGAAGCGGCAAAGCAACTTCGTCATCCCTATTTTGATTGGGCTGATGAAAAGGCAATAAAAGGAGTTCCAGAAATATTTCTAATACCTGAAATCGAGATAAATACGCCAGATGGCAGGAAAAATGTTACAAATCCGCTAAAAAGTTATACTTTACCTGTAGATCTTTCATATCCTCTAGAAAAAGGTCATAATCCATGGGATAAACCACATTATATTATTCCAAATATTACATCTGATCCATTTACACCTGCCGGTTATCCTACAATTAGATATCCTAATGCTAATTATGAAGATCAAAATAATATATTAAATTCTAATCTATCCGTGTATGTTTCTACAGTATTTAGACCTGGGTTGTATCAAATGTTTCATCTTAGCAATTACCTACTTTTTAGCACCCGTGGTACACAACAGATAAATGTGTCTTCAGGTCTTCCGCCTCCTTCAGCATTTTTTGAATCTGCACATTTTACATCCATTGAGACAATTCACGATGCCTTTCATGTAGTAAGTGGTGGCCTTGGAGGTCATATGGCTCATGTAAACACAGCTGCATTTGACCCATTGTTTTTTTGCCATCATTTTAATATCGACCGTCTTTTTGCACTTTGGCAGGGAGTGTTAGTATTATTCTTTATTTGAATAAGTAAAATTTTAATTAAAAGTAACAAATCTTTTTTATATATATATAGATTTCCTAATAGTTGGATTTCACAAAATATTGATGTCAACGGAACTTATACAGAAGAAATGAACACAGTGATAGATGAAAATACAGATTTAACGCCATTTCGAAAGACAAAAACAGAATTCTGGAAATCTTCAGATATTCGAGATATAGAAAAACTTGGGTATACGTATCCTCAAGTTACGATGTTTAAAGGTCAAGATCCCAAAAAATTACAAGCATATCTTCTTAAGCTCTATAAACCTGATCCTTATTATGGACGCAGATTTTTTGTAAAGCTGACTATAGAAGAGGGTAAATTATTTGGACCATTTTGTATTAGAGTATTTGTTAATTTGAAAAATGCAACTGCCCAAACACCAATAACTTCACCTCATTTTGCTGGTCTCGTTGCTATGTGGCATAATATTAATCATTTTCATGCTAGTAATAATACTTTTGTCGTGGAAACTATTGATATTACGGCAGCTATGAGCCGATTGGGAATACAGATAGAAATGCATAATTGTACACAAGTCAATAATACAACAGATTTGTTAAATTCAGCTACGATTTTTGACATTGAAAATAATATCACGATAGTTCCTGTTTTAATAAATGGAATGGGAGTTAGATTGAAAGAAGCTGGAGTTGATATGGTTGAAGTTATTTCATTCGAACACGATAAAGTAAATCCAAATTTCTTGGTAGAAAACACCGGTCAATATTATGGAGCTAAAAATTTTTAAATTTCATCAAAAACATACAATTCTAATATTATGGAGCTAAAAATTTTTAAAATTTCATCAAAAACATTCAATTCTTTATTAGTCAATTAGTTATTTAGTTTTAAAGTTTTTCTATTTGAATAGAACTGTATAGGTGCATAAATAGATTTTTTTCATCAATTTTTTTCTATAGCTTACAAAAATTTATCATTTCTAATTACATTTTTTTTTTATTCAAGAGCATATTCTCGGGTACATGTTTTAATAATCTCTGATGATCCTGATGATGACATGCGTGATACATTTGTAGCATTGTAGCATAATAAAATTTAATAATTCTGAGCTCTAATTTTTTATTAAATTTCGGGATAAAAGTGACGGCCTCTTCCATTGTTGCTGGGGTGAGAAATCTTCGGGCGTGACATATAAGCATTAACTATTTATTTGTATAAATAAATTAGTTAATGCTTATTTATCACTCTGAAGATTGATCACACCCAGCGGAAAATGGAAGGAATCGGACTTGATCATTAAATTTCGTACAGGAGCGACCGTCGATGTTACACGACTGACTTTTCACCCGGTGTGCAACATATAAAAAAACTATTTTACAATA